TATCATAAGATCTTTTTCTTCTTCTGCTGCCTTTAATTTTATTTATTTGTATTGTTTTGTTGTATGTAATGTTTTGTTTTTAAAAATGAAATGAATAAATACTATAAACTAAAAAAACAGTCTGTGACAGGGTCACAGATCATTTTCTTGAAAAGGAACAGAGGGTAGAATTTATAACCCACACATTTTATGATGTAGGCCGAAATTAAGCTTCCTCTTCTTGAAAGACCAGCATCCGCCGCTGTTCTTCAGTCAGAGGAGTTTCAGGTGAACTCAGCCTTATAAGCACGTTTAACAATGACAATCAACACAGTTTGTTCACATACAAAAGTGGACCCTCAGCCTAGCAATAGCTGACTAAAACTTTTGCCCTTTTCTTCATACTCCGTGTTTATGATTAATAAGGCACCAACAACTCATACAGTAACTATTTGACAGAACATTCCTTCCAAACTTCCAATTCTTTTTTTCTTTTTTTTTGATTCTTGAATCTTTTTTAATCTAGTTATACTATTTGCCTAATTTGAGTACATAATGGTTTTTGATCATACAGCTTTAGTTATAGTCAATGTTAAAAGCATGTTATTTCTTCTAAAAGTTTCATCCATTTATCCCAAGAAATAAAGACGTTATGTCTATTTGTTGCAGAATCATCACAAGTTTTTATTGCCAAACAACAGGAAAATTGCAGTAACTTCCTTATCTCATCACGTCTAGACAACCTCTTCATTGTTTTAAGCTCTATCCATTGCAAAGAGAAAGAACTGCAAGCTGTTAGGCTGTTTGGGAACCCTGAGATCCATCAGACCTTCAGACTTTCCCTTCACACTGACCTGGTCTCTCTCCTTCTCCAGTTCCATGATTTGGTTGAAATAGGACATGCTCCTTTTCTGCTCCGTCTCCCAGTCCAGCTGCAGAGTCCTGACCTTCAGCTGCAGCTGCTCCCACTGCAACTCCAGCTGCAAACACAGGCAGCAACGTCACATCTTMACTTTATCATTTACCTCAGTCATAAAATAAATAAAGAATTATTTGAGCAAAATGTCTAACTCCACTAACTCAACCTTGTCTCTGTGCTCCTCTGCTCTCTGTAGCTCTCCCTGGAGTTTGGTGATGAAGTCACAGAGCTCCTGCCTCTGTTCTGCTGCCTCTCTGCGGTCCTGCTGCAGGATATCCATCAGAGCCTGAGACCAAACAAATAATGTTCTAAGAAATACAAAATAAATCATTTGATTTTGTTTAAAGATGGCTTTCAGTGATAAACACCAAAATAAGCTCTAACTTACACTCACTCCGGTGGAGGGATCCAAGGATTTTATTGGAGTTTTTTCTGTTTTCTGAACTTTGCTTTGCTGCAGCGGTTTCTCTGGTAAAGCAGGCAGAGATCTGCTCGTTCCATTTGTGTGCAAACTGGTGGTTCTGAAAATCTCAAGTGGGTCAGTTTGTTTATCCGCCTCTGTCAGCCTGGACTTCAGCTCTTCTACCTGTAGGAAGAAAAAAAACTAACAAATGTTTTGTTCCAGGCACAAAACTGAGAAGAACACCTGATCACTTAAGTGATAAATATTTTAGCCTGTGGAACGCCTTGCTTCATGCATCTGCAGTTTGGTCGTCACGCTGTGCCAATGTTAAGACAAAATCAATTTTAAAATCTGAAGCGGATAACATYGTGCCCACATCAGCTTTTTCTTGCAGCTGCCAAACAGAAAAGCACCCGGGGTGCTTTTATTTCCTGCCATTCAAAGCACTTTTTTAACTTGATCATTTAAAAGGGCGACATGTTGGTATTAAAATATGAAAGACGTCCAAACATGTTCAAGCCAAAACACAAAACAAAAGATAAACAATTTAACAAGCCTCCTTAAGGACTCGCCTGCCTCAGGAGTTCCTTCWCTCGGGTAGAGGCTTTGCTTTGTTCCTCCAAGGCCCTGGAGTACTTCACAGCCTGCTCCAGGTGTTGGTCCTTCATCTTCCCCAGCTCCCGGCTGGCCGACTCCCAGTCCTGACGCAGCCTTCAGACACAAATCATTCACYGTTTTTTACTGACTCATTATGAGCCTCCAATAACAGAAGCTGATAGGAATTAAAAGCCTGGCATTCCTTGAAGAAATGCCCTTTGTCATGCCACACTTTTAAATGATGATCATTTAAAAAAGAGAGGGGTCATAATTAAACCCATTTTGGTCAAACCTTTAAGAATCTCATGAGATCTCGTGTGAGTTGTTGGTGCTTAAAGTCCATGTTGAGGATGACTCTCAGCTACTAACGTGTCAACATTCAGCTTTATATCTGTAAAAGTTACAGCACTTTGTTGTGAAGGCTAAGGTAAAGTAGCTACGGCAGCCATCTTCAATTCGGGTGACTTATGAGTTCAATTAATTAATTGAATTAATTGAAGGTGCACCTRGACCAGTCCCRGACCAGTTCTTCTGTGTTTGTCTGTGTCTCTTTCMTGTCCCTCAACCAGCCGATCGAGGCAGATGTCCGCCTGTCCTGAGCCTGGTTCTGCTGGAGGTTTCTTCCTGATWAGCAGGGAGTTTTTCCTCTCCACCRTTTGCTCAGGATGGGAGACTGTGATGAAGWGATTCAACACAGCYTGCTGGTTTCTTCTTTAGATTATTCTTTTTATGTACAGTGCCTTGAGACAATGTATGTTGTGACTTGGAGCTATATAAATAAACTTGAACTTGAACTTAATTAGGAAACAAACTAATAACTCCTACTTTTCATATTTTAGATAACTAAATAAACAGTTCTCATTCAACTAAGATATATTGAAATTTAGTCAACCAAACCCAGACTGAAACTCCAAGACCCACTACCTGGTCAAAAAAAAACATCACTAATATTTTCTTGGACCACCTTTAGGTTTAATTACAGCGCACATTCATTGCGGCATCATTCCCACAACTTCATCRATTATTTTCTGTCCAGATTTTAATTTCTCTCCAAGATCTCATWTTGATGGTGGGAGATTGAGAYCACTGTGAAAAGTCTTCTCCAGATTCTCAATAGGGTTCAGGTCTGGACTCTGTGGTGACCATGTGTGAGAATTATGTCTCATGCTTCTTGAACCTCTCTTTCACAATCTGAACCTGAAGAATCCCAGTGATGTCGTCTCACAACACATCCGTGTCATCAGGGAAGAGAAAATCTATTGATGGAATCTAGACCAGACCGACTGACCCCTCAGACTTGTACCGCAGGCACAAGGRTGAATCACATCAGCTGCATCTCTTCTGACCCTGATGAGCCAATCACTCTGGAACAGGGCCAGTCTGGACTCATCAAACCTCATGACCTTCTTCTTTGTACAGTTCTCAACCCAGTTTTAGTAGTTTCAGTAGATGTTTTCTCTGCTTGATGCCAATAATTGGAGTTTTCTGAAACAGATTAACATCCACAGGATGCATCTTTCCACATGAAGCTCCTCACTGCATCCACTAGGGTTAAATAACTTGTCRGCTGAAACAATCACCCAACATGATCTAAGGTGAGGCTCTTWCTATTTGCTTAATTAAATCCATGTTGCAACCATTTGTGTATTTTTGTCAAAAGACCAGGATTAAAGCTAAATTCAAATTTGCTTTTTAAAAGACCACTGATAAGCTTCAGCAGACATCTTAAATTAGGTTGACTCTAAAAGTTAATGAGTTGTAGATGCAATGGTTACTTTTTGGGAGTTTCTTTAAAACGTGTTGTTTCATGAGATATTTTAACAATAAAAACCATGGAAAACACACATGATAAAAACCATGCAGTACATGAATACACTTGTGTTATCGTCTTCTWAAGCAGGCAATAATCACTAATCTGTGTGAGAAACATTTCTAGTCTGATTGCTCAACTACCTTTAATCCTCATCTATTTAAAGAACTTAGAGGAATACAACAAATCCATCCAGACAAAGCAAACCTTTCAAGCAGCAGTTTGTCATGACGTAACTCCTCGGCTTTCCGTTCGGCTCGGCTGCGTTCCTCCTCGGCCATCCGGCAGCGCTGAGACAGCCGGCGCTCACACAGCCGGCTGTTTCGGAGCTGCTCCCTCAGTTTACGCACCTCCAGTAACAGAAACTGGGTCAGACCCTCCGGACCCTCCTCGTCTGAGGAGAAAACACAAGTGAAGGTTGTTTATCTCTGTTAACAGTTATTGTTGAATAAGCTTTTCTTGAGCTTGAGGACAATTAGTAAATGCATATCCCTCCTCTAAACAATCTTTTTTTTTCATCCATGCATGTTTAAACAATCCTTTCTTTCTGTATGGACTTAAAGAAACTGTCGCTTGCCCAGGATGAGGGAGCATCTCTGCGTTGGCTGTTTCCCAGTTAGCTGGATGTACTGGTCTGGATGGTAAAACTCCAGAGACTCTATGAAGGCCTGATAACCCCGCTGGCCCTGAGCTCGGAGAATGTCCAGCAGACGACCTGTGAGATTGAAAAAAAGGGGTCATAAATGAAAACTTTTCAAAGTCATCAAAAAAAAGACATTTTCCTGTCATCCTTTAAAACATCACAGCTGAAACCCACTAACCACAGGAATGCTGCTTCTTTGATCTGAGTATGACCTCCTCTCTAATTACACAGCTAACATGACCATGATGAACGACTGACGAGAACTAACTCTCACAAAAAAATAAAACATTAACTCTCCTTCAGACCAGGTGTTTATCTTCATCTCCTGCTGGTTCATGTGCAGTGCTCCCTTTTGCAGATATCCTCTGTGGTTTTTAAGGAGTTTTACATAAAAAAGTGCAGATTTATTTTTTGTCTTATTAACAGTCTTATCAGATCTTTTACAACATTTAATAGAGACCACATGGACTCACTGTCTTATTGCTTGCTGGTGAAAAATGAAAGAAAGGCAGGAAGTAATATTTTTGACTGCGACTCAGTGTGTGTGTGTGTGTGTGTGTGTGTGTGCGCGCGCATGGATTCGCTCTTAGAAAGTAATAACTGTATGTACATCTACAAGAAACAGAAGTTGTGAGTCTGCAAAGATTCCACCTTATCATCCAGCTAGGGGTCGGGGGTGTGGTGGGGGACCGTCAGTTGAATAGCATGATTTAAACACTTCATCATGGTTAGATTTCTGTGTAGAGTTGCCTATAAATATTACTTTTCATTGGTTAACTTCTGCCTTCTTTAATCATCATCGCAGACGTACAGTRTGTACCTTGGTTACCACTTCACCAGCTTGTCCGGAACAATATGGCCGATCTCTCTGATCATGAAAAGTCACGTGATATCGCCTCTAGTCAACACACCTCATYAATGAAGACAGATACTGTATGTTTCAAAAGCCACTTGCAAACATTTTATTTGTGTGCCCATAGAAAGGATTTGTATTTTCATTTAAAAATCTACCTTCATATATAATATACTTTACAGTGTTCTCAAATTTTGATCTGAGCTTAGAGTGAAATTTCGAGTATTATCACCATTTTGAATGACGAATAAACAAATTTTATAAATTTCCTTATTTATTTCGGAAATCAATTTTATTAAGAAAGGAAGAACAGATTCTCAAATTTGACACCCATCCCTCAGAAGTTAGAGTTTGTGTGTATTTTCTACCAGTTGTTAGTGCTTGGGAAGTGGGAGAGGCTTACAGCAGCACTTAACTACAGAACRATTGGTGCTTTCAAATGTAGTCGCCAAAATCTGATTAACTACAGGAAGCTAAACTGAAACAGACTGAAGCAAAAATACAAACTGTGACTTGAGAGCAAAACCACCAACAGAGACAAAAAAGCAACAAGAATCTGAGCAAGAACTATATTCTGCAGGAGCTAATGACCACTCGTGTTTTGAATGAAACTGAATCCTGAAGTGACAGACAATAAATGYGGATGTGAACTCAATCAAAAGCCCAAGTGAAACTGGATGCTGCAGTGGCAATATAAACTAGATGACCAGAGAGAAAAAACAACAACAAAAACCTATGGTTATGTCTCACTGGGTTGGGACTGTTGACCAGCTGACAAATTAAATTTTGAGAAAATAAGCAACTTTATTGCTGCAGTCTCACTGAATATTAAATATTTGAGTATGTGAGCCGTGTAGCTGTGATTTGAGGGGCAAGTTTTGGAAAATGACAGCTTATTGTTGAGCATTCAGCTTGCAAAACTGCTGTGCACATTTTTTTTAATTACTTTATTTAACCAGGTAAAACCCATTGAGATCCAGATCTCATTTTCAAGGGGGACCTGGGCAGAATTACTTACTTACTATTACATTACTTTGTTGCTCATTGCCACCCACATCGTACCCACCTTTGACTGCTTTGTACCCACCTTACTTAGCATGTTTCTGAATTAATCCACGTGGGTGCACATTTGAAATGAAGATGAACAGATTTGAATGGTTTGTGGACTTGGGTATTTGTGGCTCTGTGATCAGAGAGCTCCTATGAACGCATCAAAAATACATCTCTAGTGTTCTTGAGATAGACTGGAAATGCTTGGGGTAAAACTGAGATGGGTTTAAGACACCTGCAAACATCTTAGTGACTATTTTAAATTAAAATTTGTTGCACATTTTTTTAAAACATGTTCAAAACACAGACAAAAAGACTGTGAGCCTGCAACTCACACAAGGGAATTGAAAACCTYCACAAATGTTTTGAGGCATTTTGGAGACTTGTTTGGAAATGCTGTTCATCAACTAATCACCAGAAGCCGCTGCCCGCTGAGATACAACCAGAAACCAACAATGATCCAACAAAGAACTGAGCTGAATACAAGCTGAATGAAACTAACAGTGACCAAGAACTTAGCGGCAGTTTGTAAATGGAAACCAGGTGTGAACGAGAAAGGGAAAAAAAAATATATAAAAAAGCAAAATACATACGGTTGCTGACTGTGCACATATGACAAGTCGACATACAAAATACAGACACTTCTCTGTAGTTAAACAAACTTTGCTTAAAACTGGGCTCTACTTAAAGCTCCTGCTCACCGGCCTTGCTGATGCGCATGGGGTACTGCGACGAGTTGAGCACTTCGTCCTCATCCTGCTCGTCGATGACCTTGCACTGTCGCAGGTAGGGCGTGAATTTGGCCGGGTTGAGGATGCGGGTGAGCTTGTGCCGTACGCCCTCGATGCGATCCCACAGCTCCTCGCACTGCTCCTCCGACCAGGCGGGGGAGGACCGCGCCTCCTCCTCCTCCTCCTGAGCTTCGTCTTCCTCCACCCAATCTGTGACACCTGGATGGAACCCAAAGGATGCAAGCATTTCAGGAATATTTGAGGATGACTTGGAAAACCTTTCCACATACGTGTCAAATGAGAAATTATAGTATTTTACACATCAGGAGATAATAAAACGGTTCTAAAATTACTTAAATGCAACTTCAAGAGTGCAAAACACCACAACAGATCCCACCAGTTCAGTGTTTATTATGTAGAATCACCACAATGTATGAACCACAAGACTAGAGATGTTTACCCATAATGCATGGCAGCATGTTTGTTCAAATGTATCAGCACAAACCCCTCGCAACAAACTGCTGAACTCAGAGGTGGGCTGCAGCACCTGCAACTTTAAGTTCCAACTTGACTGAAACCTTAAGGTGGGAACTGGGGAAAGCTGTGCAGAAACAAATRTCTTCAAACCTCAATCAGAAAAATCAATGCTCAAAAACATGTGTCAAACTTAAGGCCCACGGGCCAAATCTGGTCCTAATCAACATTTTATTTGGCTTCAAAAATTATATTTTACTGTCACAGTCTGTGTATCTGTTATGTGCGTGTTTTTGTTTTTGATTACTGTTCTGTGTCTTTTTTCTGTTTACCTCYTCCTGCTGSTCTCKGCTCCAGCCCCGCCCACTCTCACCTGCTCCTCRTGTTTCTCTCCCAGTTTTTTCAATAAATGACAGATTTTCCATTGACTTGGACCAAGTTTTAAATGTGACTGACTCCTCGGCTCTAAAACAAAGCATGGGCCAAGATTTCTCCACAAAAATTAAAAGACTGATAGTGATCCAGAAAATCACTACTGCTGCTAAAGTTGCTTAGCTGTTGAATCACTGAATAAAGTTTTCMATTTTGGCTTCATTTCTGTTTTTTAAATAATGACACAATAGGATCTGTTGTGTTTTTGTACACTTGATGTTAAATTTGAACACTTTCAGAAAGACCARGTTATTATTATTACATCTGGATATTTTTTTGTCATGACTGTAATTTTACAATCAATTAAAACCAGTTTACTGAAGATATGTTTGCTACTTTCAGACATAATGTGCCATCTCCAACTCAGACAAATCAAATAACCATTTTTAGACAAAGCACATTTCCCAGGAAGAGGCCCACAGTTTATTTTTGTCTGTATCTCACAAGTGGATCTCTGCCACAACTTAATCTGCGCCATTCTTAACCAAATAAATCTTCATAAACCAGTCTGTWACTCCAGAGACACATGTCAAATACTGATTTTCTTTGTCCAACTCTGAGTGGGTAAAGAGAAATATAGAACAGATTTGCTCCACTGTGGTCTAATGTTTGAGCTTCTTCCTGGAAATCTTCCAGGGAAACGGTCAAGGAGGCTTTTATTTCCCACAGGACATCCCTCTGACATTTAGGCCGTTAGCTTCATGCAGTTTCCTGCAGCTAAAACCGTTTTCAACAAGACRTTTGTCAGGGGGATCACGTTATCTTGATATGACCTAATGTGATGAAGATTATTGCCAACAACAAACAGAGCAGTGTTGGATTCAATCGTATGAGGCGTCTGCTGCTGGGGGTGGGAGGCCCCTGTGTGGGTCATTGTCTAAGAGCGCAGGAATGAAAACACTGACTCACATCACAGCACCTAAACACAAAGCAGAGGGCCGCAGAGAAAAGCTTCCTCAGCTCCACTCATTTCAGGATACAAGAGAATGAGACCACAACCTGGAGAGCTTCACAGATCATTAAAGTTGTTTTAAGGATGTTTGTTTGATTCAGGACGTGGTCATTCTCTAACGAAATGCCTTAAAAATCAGAAAGTAACGTCTAAAACAGTAAAATAAACACTGAAACCCAATAAACATTTGCGTTTGAACTAAAGGCAGGCGAGGCACTGCTCGCAAAAAAAGATGACATTTGCCTCAAAAAAGTAGCTCCTGTTAATAGATAATAATTACTTCTTTAWTAGAATTGCTGGCTGTTGTTTGGTTCTGTGTTTTTCATCTCTTTGGATCATTTTAAATAGAATTTTAATGTGTTTTGTTGATTCATACTCAGTTTTTGACTTGTTTACAGTCATGGAAGCAGGACTGTGGATTCATCAGTGGATTTATCAAAACATCCTGTTGGTAGTGAGCCATACTGCAGAGTGCTCCAGTAAAGCCTCTTTGGGACACATTCTGCTGGTGTTTGGATTATATTTTTCAGCCTGTTCAGTTTTCTTTACTTCCCATTGTGTTTTCTGAACATTACAGTATTTGCAATAGAACTGCCAAAGAAGGTCTGAACTATTACCAACTGTTTGTCTTCGTTCTCCTCTGCTTCTGGGTCCGACTCTGGCTCCAGCATGTACTGMYGGATGGACAAATCTTCTGTTGTTGACATCTTTTAATTAATTTGTAACTAAAAAGTTTCAGCATTGCAGTTCCATTTTATATTGAGCCCAAGTGAAGGATTTGAATGTGAAAAAGAAGGATTTAAAAGCACGACATGTATCCTTTAAATAAGATACACATGTGGGTTAGCTAACAAATTATGGGGCTTCTGATTGTAATAGTTGGGACTGATTATCACTTATAGTCAAATTAGAAATCTAATTCAGACACCTGTGTGCCTGGTTGTCTGTTTTATTTTACACAATTAATCTTAATTTTGTAAAATAAATCAGACAAGCTTCAATATTTCCATTTTAGGTACAGGTGTGTGTGTGTGTGTGTGTGTGTGTGTGTGTGTGTGTGTGTGTTTGTTTTCTGATTTAATTATGAGACCAGACTGTTTTCAGGAGACACACAACCTTAACCTGTAAGTGAAAATGTAACTGTTGTATTTGTGTGGTTAGCAAATCAGGAAACAAAAGTCTGTCCCGCCGATGTTTCTGCTCAGGAGCTGCTACTGGTGAAGAGATCATTTATTTTGTAGTGATGAAGATCTGTTTACCTGAGTGTGTGCAGCTCAACAGGCAGGTCGAAGCATGTTGGATGCTTTGGAATCTGTGTCATTTCCCTTGAACAGTCTGTAAAGACTTTGTTCTCCTGCGGTTACTACAACTTTATACTTYGCCATAGAAAGCAGCGTGCAAAGTGTCTGTTTTATAACGGTTATAAAAACMTTTTCCATGCGTTTACTGATTGCTGCTGAAAGGTGAACACAGACTATAGCTTTGTTTGTCCCTTTTCACAGAAAACCTTAAGAACACCTGGATAACTGTTAAAAATAAATAAATAATRCACATTTACAACAATAACTTCAGGACTCAACCTGATTCAGAATGGCTGTCAAAAAATAAATAAATAAAAATACATACATACCCAAGTTAGTTTACAGATTTGGTGTGATAACTGCTCAAAATTGTTGGAATTATTTCCATTACCTATTTGCAGTCAACCCTGTTAGCGAAATATCCCATGAACCACTACATGGAATTTAATTAAACGTTCAGGAAATAATCATTGGATGCACCTTTACAACTGGTTTGCTGTAGAAACCAAACTAATTTAAAATGACCAACATAAACAAATGRMTTTAGAAAACACAAAAATTGCTGTAATTAAGTAAGTGTTACAGACATGATGCAAATATTATGGAGCATTTATAGCTCAACAACATTCYCAACACATACTTCAAGTGTTAATACACAAAACGTTTGCTTAACCCTTAGGGTTGACTTCAACCAGTCAATGCTGATCGTCTGTTAGCAAAATTTCTCCTGAAAAACTGAATGAATTTTAATGAAACACACAGAAAGTAATCATTAGACATAGACGTACAGCTGATTAACTTTTGGAGGCAATCTACAWTAAGATTGCCACTAAAGCTAAACAAGATTTGTCAACACAAAAGTGGTTGAAACTCAGTCTTTATAGGTGTTGAGCTAAAATTTGTTGTGGCAGTAGCTGTGGGTCATTCTCAGCACATACTCTGAGCTGGACATCTTAAGGCATGACCTCAGGTTACATTAAGGTTTGACCAAATCAGCTACAGTTGTCATTTCTCAACATGCACTCAAACACACCGAGATATTTTTTAAACAAATCSAAGAATCTTGATTAATTGATACTTAACGTCAACCCTGGAAAAAAAACCTACAATACGTGTTTAATTTGCACTACAGATTGAGGTCACTGGTCTTTATTTTATTCCCAGATTATAATTTCAATCTGCCTAATCAGATCACACAGGAACCAGTTTAAAGTACACGCCTTGCGCTGCGCAGCTCTGTGGTCACTCATTTACCGGAAACATAGATTTTTCCATAAGATTTTGTCAACAAACAGTCTGAACTAAAGCCMTAAAGCAGGCTTTAAAATGTCCACTCACCGCTCATGTCTTGTCCTTATGATGAGACTGAGGAGGTTTAACCCCTCTCCTTTCAGGTCCAAACACGACTCACGAGTGAAAATGAAGGCGTGATTTCAGCGTGAAGACTGCCGGAGCTGCACCTGCGCGCACAGTTTTACGCACAGTTTTGCGCACACTGAGCCGCAGCTCTGGTCAAACKGCCTGCAGTCAAAAGGCGGGGGAAAATTTACCCATATTTCTCCTCCGTTTTTCAGCACTTAACTTTATTTACACCGACTGGTTCAGAAACACAAAACTCTCAGTTCAGAATCCTCAAACACCAGATGGCGCTTTAGACTAAAGCTTATCCGCTCAGAAAGTTAAACCAGCTCCGTCTTATATAACCTTAAACAAATGATTACAGACAGAGTATCTACACTCTGCTCCTTAGGAGTAAAACTTCAGCTCGGTAATGAACCAGGTTCTTTCAGAAATTTCCTGATGATTAGATGACTCACAGTCTGACTCACCCTCCAGGAGGTTCTCTCAAAGAAAAAAAAAGCAGGTTTCTCTACATGATCTGCCAAATAAAGTTTGATTTGTCATATTACAACACACATTACACAACCACTCAGTTTCACTCTACAGACTTAAAAACCTGCTGACCTCTGAATTTGTCTGTAGGGGGATTAAACCCATGTTTTATAATTATGGAATATAGCAAACATGTTTGGACAGGGGCAACATACATACATACATACATACATACATACATACATACATACATACATACATACATACATACATACATACATACATAC